TGGCCCCATAATCTTCTTGATCAGAAAATTTGGGACACTACCGAGGTACATGACGTTACAGTACAAGTTCTCATATGTCCTGAGTCTTAATTTTAATGTGACTCTTCATAACTCAATATGTCATGTGCAGTAATGGACATACTTAATGAATTCATGTGAAATAAAGAAACATTTTCTGAATTTTGGTGCCTGAAAAATTTTTTTCACTTGATTGGACCATAATTCTTAGCCAATATCATTTTTGTTACCATTCCTGTCTCGTAAGTCTTCAGTTAGAACTTGATTTAATAGAAACTTTGTGGGGCCTGCCAAATAGCTCAGTGGATTAAAGTGCCTGCAAGCAGATGCAGGGGCCAGGGGCTCGATCTCCTGGCCTGCCATGCCAGCCCTGCCCCTGGGGCACGCTGAGACAGCAATTGAGACTGGGCGTGGTGGTGCACGCCTGTAATCCCAGCTCTTGGGAGGTTGTAAAACAGGTGGATCACTACAAGTCTGATCTAGTAGTGAGACCCTGAGCACCCTGTAGACCCTTCCCTAAAAAACAAAACAAAAAAAAACCCAACTCTGTGAAGTCGCGCCTCTAATAGGTCATGTCTTAGATGAAGAATTCATGGGATAAAATCACTGACAGCTGTGTTGCCAATGCACTACAAGCAACCTATATGGATAAGAAGTGATCATTTAAGGAGAGCTCTATTGCTGGACATGAGAGATAGGTGCCAATGGTTTACAGGAATGGAGTTGCAAGGAATTCAATCTGGAATTTGTGGTTTTCAGTTATCACAATGTTTCTGAAGACAACATGACTGTATTTGAATTAATGTAGATTTTTTACATAAATAAATATAGATTCTTGTACATGCAAAATCAAGCATTTCTTGAAAACAAGCCCTACTGAGTCTTTTGGGGCAAAAATTAATATAAGACCCAGTCTTACTTTGGGGAAATATGGTATTTCTTCAAAAGATAATTACTAGTTTCTATTGATGTGTGTTTTCCTAGGTATAGGTTTCCTAAAAATATTAACATACTTATAATCACATTTCCAGAGCATTTTATAAAATGACAATAACTGAAAAGATGATCAACATTTGTTTGCAAATGTATAGTTGTTTTTTAGTTTGAATCACAATAGTTTGGATATTCTGGGCATGACTTCCTTTAAAATGAAAAAAATAACCTACATATATCTTGCTTTAAAAATTGCCTTTTGTTAACATACTTCTAGAATCTTAAAATGCTTTATTTAGTCAGTGAATAATGTAAAGTGTTTATTAGTGGAGAAGGAGACCAAAGGCTGCGATAGAAAAATCTCCGATCTCTATGATCCTGAATATAATTGGGCCTATTTTCTGGGAGGTTAGAGGCTACTTCAGGAGAAAATTCCACTAAATTCATTGAAAGCTTTTCATAATACAACTCATAAAACAAATGCAGATAATTATATATTCATTATAGTTTGAGAAACTAATGTATAGAATTATAAACAAATGCAATTTAATTACAATCACAATAAGTTACACTACAAAGTACATTCCTGTAAGAAGTGGTAAATAACATTACATAAGATTTAAAAGGATGTAATTAATAATAAGCATTGATTTCATAACGTAAAACGATTTTACTACTCCAGAATGGGTTGCTTTCGATGGCTGGAGACAGGAGAAATATGGTGATGTTACTTACAGTTTTATACCAGAATAATGATAACAATGAAAAAGCAGAAGCAACCACAATGTCCAAAAGAATGATAATGGACAAATAATACTATGACATTCACTTTTCATGGAGTATTCTGCAACTATGAAATATAATGTTTGATGAAGAATTAATGATTTAATGTTTCTAAATTATTTAACATAAATACTTGGATTGTAATGTTAAATGTTAGAAACATTTTAATGGATTGTCATTGCTTTTGCAGTGCATAGAAAGTGGCTTTATTTTTAGGAATGAAATTGTGTGTCCCACTATATGTATTTCATGATAGCTTGTCTTTTTTCCAATGTGCTTAATGTTGTTATTTCCCAAGTCACTAAATATTCCTCTACAACATGAATTTAAACGATTCTAGAGTATTCCATTGCTTTGATGGCCTGCAATTCACTTAGCCAATCTTTTGCTACTGGTACTTTTTATTTTTACTTGTAAAAGTGTTGCTTGAAAACGGCCTTCTCCCTTTCTCTCTCACTTTATGCTGCAACCCTTCTTTTTATTCTCTTTCAAAAGCTGAATTTTAAGTTACAGTTTTAGAAGCTGAATTTTTATATCAAGAAGTATGTAATTGTACATCTTTTGGTTAGTTCCTCACTACAGATATAGATATTCCTCTTTTTTTTTTTTTTTTTTTTTTGGTGGAACTGGGGATTGAACTCAGGCACTTGTACTTGCCAGGCCAGCACTTATTCTACTGAGCTATCTCCCCGACTCCCAGATATTCCTAAAAAATGCTTTCATGGCTAATTATCAGTGTCCTACTTGTCTTCCAATGCCTGCAGAATGATGATGTCAATCCCAGAACCAAACATATTTGCAACTATTGTGTTTCGTTTTCATTTTTGTGGTACTAAGAATTGAACCCAGGACCTTCACACTGAGCTACATCCCCAGGTTTCTTTAAAAAACTATCTTAACAATGGAGCATCACTCAGCTACAAAGAAAGACAAACTAGAAGCCTGTATAAGTAAATGGATGCAACTAGAGACTGTACTCATAAGTGAAATAAATCAGACTCGTATGTATAAATATTGTATTGTCTCCCTAGTGTAAGAACCTGAAAGAAGAAATAAAATCTTAAAGGTCTAATAGATATAGTAAAATGGAAAGAAATTGAACTTAAGGACTAAATAATGAAGATGAAAGAAAGGAGAAAAAATGAGAAAAAGGAAGGGGGAAAACCATGCAAGTATATATACAGGATGGATTAGATGATTGTACTAATAATTTCCATCAGTTTTTTTGAAATAAAAATTAATGTGTAGAATTTTCACTTTGACTAACTGCTGATATCTGCTATCTAAGCAACCACACTGAGGACAGCAATGTGCAACACAAAAACCATGCTTGAATACTTCTTATCTTGGTCTTTGAAATGTGTACCATTTTTCTTTCTTTCTTTCTTTCTTTCTTTCTTTCTTTCTTTCTTTCTTTCTCTCTCTCTCTCTCTCTCTCTCTCTCTCTCTCTCTCTCCTTCCTTGTTTTTTTTGTGGCAGAACTGGGGATTGAACTCAGGCCCTTGTACTTCCCAGGCAAGCGCTTATTCTGCTTATTCTGCTGAGCCATCCCCCTGGCCCCCCTGTGTACTGTTTCTAATGTCTTATCAATTATTACTATGTTCTCTTTAAAATAAATTTTTTTTTAAAATGTGAAATAAAGACAAGAAAAAAATTAAGGTTTCTTGAAAGCAAGTGGTAATATTCAATTATTTGTCCAATCTTGCATAACTATATCTGTTAATCTGAGCAAAAGATATGATGATAACAATAGACAATATAATTACCATTGCTAATTAGGTATTCTTGTTTTGAAAATCTATAACACACATATTGTATGTTTCCCTATTTGTGTAGTTTATGCTATTTGTTTTTGTTTTTAGCCTTCATAATAAAATACAATAACATTTTTAAAAATTGTTTTAAAATTTGAGACAGGATTATGCTAAATTGCTAGTGTCTAGGCTGGGCTTAAACTTCGGATCCTCCTGCCTTACTCTACCAGCATACTGAGAATGCAGGAGTGCACCACCACACCTGGCTTCAACTACTGTTATTTAGCATAAATGGTCAGTTTCTTTGTATTTACCTTCCATTTTTCTCTTTTTTATAGACCACAAACTCACCATGTGATTGAAATGGAACCCCCCAATACTTTCCACTTTCCCTGCTATCCAAAAGCAGAGAGCTCTTCATGTCATCTGTCTAAAAGGCCTCCACAATTTGAATATGGGTTCCAGGGCCACTAACAAGAATTTCATGTTTGACTCATAAATGCTTGATTTCAACACCATATGTTTTTCATTAAAGATCAGCAGTAGAGGTGTGAATTACCAAGAAGTTCCTGTTCAAATCCTTAAAAGAGCTGTACAACATCAAAAAACGTGTCCCAAATTCATAAAATTATCATCTTTGCAATTGACCAACAGAGAGGAGTACAAAATATCCCTCAGTGACAACTTGAGAAATGAGATCTTTCTGAAGATGGCCTTTACAGTGCTCTAAAGAAAGAAGGTAGCACATTCTGGTCTGTTCTGAGGACTTTGGGGTAATACTGAAACCAACATGACAAAAATGGAACTTTAAAGGTTAAATTTGTTCCTTTAGAGACAAGTGGCTTCTCCAGACTTCCTTAGGTCTAGAGCATAAGTCCATCTCCTCTCCTTAGCCCAGATGAATGGACTAAATATGCAGATGCTGGCACTATGAGATTTGCTTTTCCAAACTTCCTCAAGCTAAGGGCATAACCAACCCCCTCTACCCCCTGCTACCTACATAAACAGAATAGGCAAATGCTGATGCAGAATGTCGAGGTATAGGTGAGATGAAGCAAGCTTGGGGCTGTATATGATCTCATTGCATTCACTTTCTTCTCTGTTCTTTGCTATAAGACAGCCTTGCACATCTGTACATAGGGAGATGGAGATTTGAGCCAAATGAAGTCCCTCTATCTCCTTAGAGCTAGCTTTGAATAAAGACTTTCTCCTTTTCACCAAAGTAAATGGCCTCCTTTGACTCAGGCAGCAGTGAGCAGTGGACCTGAACATATGAACCTGAGGGGCTGGTAACAATACCATCTTTGTGATGTGAACCTCTTCCAAAGAAATAAGTTGGATGCATAGCTATCTTTAGAGTGGCACCTAGTTCAACACTATTCAACATTTCACTTTGCCGGTGATGTGATTTAAGCCACAGAGCACTACCTGTCCCATCCCTGATGAATGCTACTGCTATATAAACCTAAAAGTTGGTCACAGTAAATGCCAATGCCCCATAGTGAGTCTTACTTAGTCCAGCAGAGCTTGTTCAGAAGCTCCCTCATGGTCATGTTGTCCCACTCTTCTGCAAGGGGGGCCTTCCATGGGGCATCACTGGGGATCTACATGCACATGAAGATCAAAGGAGAAAGACAAAGGCAATTTCCATCTTCAATAACCATCCTAGAATTATTTGAAATTCTCTAACTTAAAGAAAAAATGTGTTTTCAAATTCCCCCATAATATCTTTCACCTCATAAACAACGTTGTCTGCATAGCTTTGCTGTTACAGATCTATACCACTCAACCCTTATTTCATTTATATTACCATTTCCTGTACAATAAATGGAGGTGTGTGGTAAATGGCTATTTTCAAATATGGATTGCAGGAGTTCTCCCTAATCCATCCAAGATCCCAAGTAAATGCCTCAAAATATCGAAGGTGCCAAACTCTACATGCATACTGTTTTTCCCATACATAGATACCTACAATAAAGTTTAATTCAAAAATTGAGCACAAGAAATTAATGACAATAACAAAACAGAATTTAGATATATTATAATAAAAGTTATGTAACTAAAGTTATCTATCCACTCATTTCTCTAATTTTCCATTTAGCATTTTAAAACTGCTACTGACATTGGGTAGCTGAAACTACAGAAAGTAAAACCATGGATCAGGATGGAAGACTTTACTAAAGTTACTATTTCACACAGAATATTCACAGATTTGTCTTTTAACAATAATTAAACAGCTGAATCAAGTCACTTCTAAGAAGAAGTTTTCACTTAAAATTTGCATATGTGGGCTGTAGGTTTGGATATGGTGGAGAATCAAAGAGCCAGATGCCTTGTGGTGTTGTGTCCTAAAAGAGTTTCGAAATTAGAATCATCACCCCAGGAAGACTGAGTGATACACAGACTTCTCCCCACTCACCAGTATTTATAATAGCAGTCTGTTTGACACCTCATTTCTTTAGAAGTCAGAAACAGGTTTATTTGTCCATTTGTCTCACAGACTTTTACTGATTGCTGCTATGCACTCAGCACCTTCTTTCTTTCTTTATAGGATTAAACTTATTATGAAAAACATCAATATAGTCAAAGACACTTTAGGAAGATTTACCTCTTGCCCCATATCATCCATTGTCCTCCAAAGGTTGTTATGATCTAAGTAGGTAATTGGATTCCATACAGGAGGGAATGGGCCCCTGAAGGGGTATGATTTGCCCTATGAAGATAAAAGATATTTTTAAGAGGAAGCACTGACTAAACTACAAATGTAATTAAACCTGCCAAGTTGGAACATATCTACAAGCAAAATGGCATGAGTTAGCAATATGGGACAAACATTCAAGATTATTTTGGCTCCTTGTATCCTTAGAGTCATTTTTAAGATTTAGTATGCAGATTTTGAACAAAATCCTTTGTTAACCAAATGTTTGAGGTCACACCAAACATTTATTTCTGAAACCAGATAAGTTTCACTCTGAAACCAGAATACTTACCACATAAAATTTAAATGTCAGAATAAAAGTGGGATCACCAACACATTTCACAATAACATAAAAAAAAGAGAAAGAAATACTTAGGAATCAATCTCACAAAAGAAGTAAAAGATTTATAAATGAAAATTGCAGTGCTCTGAAAAAAGAGACAGAAGAGGATTTCAGACAACGGAAAGATAAATAAAAAAGAAAATAAATAAAAAAGAACATGGAGATATTCCTTGCTCCTACCTAGATAGGAAGAACAAACATTTTGAAAATGGTCATACTCCCAGAAATGTTATACAGATTCAATGCAATCCCAATTAAAATACCATTAGTATATCTCATAGATCCAGAGAAAACATTCCTAAAGTTCATCTGGAACCAAAAGTGACCTAGAATAGCAAAAACAATCCTGGGCAACAAAGAAAAGGCAGGAGACATCACAATCCCTGACTTGAAATTATATGACAAAGTTACTGTGATAAAATCAGCATGGTACTGGCAAAAAAACCCCAGGAGGATCAATGGCTTTCCACAGGACAAAGGTTTAAAATAGACCCATATCTATCACCATGCACAAAACGTTTGTCAAAATGGATCAAAGATTTAAATATTAAAACTGAAACACTAAATTTTTGCTGGTCTAGGGGCTGGTGAGATGGCTCAGTGGTCTAAAGCACCTACTTAGAACAAACTTAGCAAAGCACAGGGACCACGGTTAAATCCCCCAGCACCACATGCCAGCCCCACCCCCTGGTGGGCTGAGCTGGCCACACACACACACACACACACACACACACACACACATAAATGAATAAAAAAAATTTTTAAAAATAAATTTTTGCTGGTCTATTGAAAGGAGCAGCTAATGCTTAAGTATTTTCTTTCTCCAGGTTTGCATGTTTATATCTGGTAATCTAAACAACTAATTTTAAGACAGTATTATGTAATACATCAGCCATTGTCAAATTCCTATTATTTTATTTAGGGAAATTCTGTATTGTTTCTCAAGGTTTTCTTTTTCTTTTTCTTTTACCATTTTGTATTCTCTTTAAAAAATAAAAAAGTGGAGTAACCAAAAGTCATCTCATTTGCCAACAATGCTAGTATAAATACTTTGGAATCAGGAACACTTATGTATGTAAAGAATCAAAAATTACAACTATAAAAATTTTACAAATTAGAAGTGGATGAAAAACTAATTGCAGAAATAATCTGAAAAGTGAGACCCAGAAAGCTTTCCCAAGGAGACAGAAGTATTGCATCAATTAGGGTTGCTGGAGCTCAGTAAAATAAAAGCAGAAAGCTACGAAAAGTTCCCTCTGGCTAGGAAAAGAAATTAATGGAAGGGATATATAAAACATTATATTAGAATTTTAGGAGCATTAGCAGTTCAAATTAGCATGTAGCTTTGACAGGCTTTGGGTAGGACATACTGGGTATTTCACAGTACAGTACATGGTTGTTAGTAACAGGAAAGAACTGACAAGTGCTAAGAACAGATTAGACATCCTATGTAGACTATGAGGTTTATTATCTTTTCCCTTATTCTTTTAAAAAATAAAAGAATTGCAAACAAAATTCTTACAATTTTAATATTGTAAGTGCTAGTCAAAGTTGGAAGAAAATATGACTTCATCTTCAAGTCATCCTAAACCAAAAAATGAAATTTATGGTCCATGTAGTTGGTAATCAGAAAGATAACATTTGGACTCAGGATATCAAAGGAAGAGCTGATTAGAGTTACATCTCCTGTCATTTGTCCAATCCTTGAATCATTCTTTGTTGTTTGAAGGTTGGGATACTATTGCTGACCAAACAACTCAAACTTCAGAATCTCTTCCTTGAAAAAGGGCAACTAACTGGACACTTACTAAGTGGACAGGAAATTTTGATCATAATTAAATATACCTCTCTTGTTAATGAGTTGGTATTTAATATCTTCACTTCTGATTTTGTTTTTTAAATTAATTTTACTGAGAAACAAAGAGCAATGAGACAGTTTCAAAACAAGTTAGTAGGACAGTTACAATAATTAATAGATTGCATATCATTGTCTATGTAGATGTATAATGCACCTAAGGAGAGTCACCTAGAGAGAAAACATTCTCTCAGGTTTTCACAGAGAGCAAATTGATTAAGCAATGGCTGTGACTCATCCACGTGGCTGACACTGACAAAAGGTCTACAAACTGCTGTACAGTGTTTCAGGTTAAATCCTGAGGGGATTTAACTGACCTTGTCAGATACAAAAGTTACATTTCTTATTATATAGGTTTTTTTTTTCTTTTTTGTGGAACCAGAGATTGAACTCAGGCCCTTGTGCTTGCCAGGGAAGTACTTATTCCACTGAGCTATCTCCCTGGCCTGTATAGGCCTTGCTTTATCTTGGTCTTAACCATCCAGCAGAAAAGTATAAAAACAAGGTATGAAAAGTAAAGCCCTATTAATATGCTGAACTATAAAGGGCTCAAGTTAACAACTTCTGACATTGTCAATCCTATGGATAACCCATTACTATTATGGACTACTGGACTATAACGGATTATTTTATTGAATTCATGCAGCTACAATATTTAAATGGTAATGGAATACCCATCTTTCACCTCTGATTTTGAACTATAGTAAGTTCCTTGAAGATGACAGCTATATTTCTGGTATCACATTTTTTGTTGTTGTTGATACATTTATTAATACTTCAAAGAAATTAGTAAAGTTGAAATTACTATGGTAGCAATATGTATTAAGTAAAAGAAATTCTTTAGTTGATTCAAATTTTGAAAAAGACAATCATTTTGGAGCTGCGCAGATAGCTCAGCAGTCTAAGCTCCTGCCTGGCAAGCACAAAGACCCAGGTTCAATCTCCGGTACCACATGCCGTGTTGGCCACCAAAACCAGGTGTGCTGGTGAACTCCTGTAATTCCAGTGCTGGGAGGCTGAGATAGGAGGATCACTACAAGTCTGAGCTGTGTAGCAAGATCTTGTACCAAATTAATAAATAAATAAATGGCTAAAATAAAAGAGACAATCAGCTTTCAGAATTACTTCTTTTCTAGAGAAACTCAAATATTTTTCTCTTAAGCATTCAACTGACTTGGTAAGACCCCAAGCTTAAGGACTGTGGCTGTGGAGTCATACCATGCCTCTTCCACTCTGCTTCAGTTAACTCAAATGTAAAATGTGACAATAGAAATCACTTTAAAAATATACTGAGAAGATGAAGTGAGTTGATACATCTAAGCCATATGATGAATACTCAGTGTTGTTATTATGTAACTGCTACTGCTGTAATTATAATCTTTCTATGCTTGGGCCTGAGATCAGAGATTCCTGGCACATAGTGGGTTCCCAATACATGTTTGATGTTGCATTATCTTGAACTTCATATCTATTTGACACATGGTATCTTGATTTCAAAATTGAACTTTATTTTGTATTTTAGAGAAAAGTCTACAGCGTGCTCAGGATCTCATTATGAGATCAGACTCCTAGTGATCCTCCTGTTTACAGCCTCCCAAGGGCTGGGATTACAGGGGCACGCTACCATGCCTAGTCTCAATTGCCCTCTCAGCATGCCCTGAGGGTGGGGCAGGCATGGCAGGCCAGGGGATCGAACCCCTGGCCCCTGCACCTGCTTGCAGGAGCTTTAATCTGCTGAGCTATTTGGCCCGCTCTTCAAAATTGAACTTTTGTACTTTGATTTTTTTTTTAACATTTATTTTGTGTGTGTGTGTGTGTGTGTGTGTGTGTGTGTGGCCAGCTCAGCCCACCAGGGGGAGCGGCTGGCTGGCATGTGGTGCTGGAGGATCAAACCGCGGTCCCTGTGCTTTACCACGCTTGTTCCAAGTAGGTGCTTTAGACCACTGAGCCATTTCACCAGCCCCTGTACTTTGATTTTTTTATGCTGTTGTTTGCCTTGGTGCTTTTAAGTCTACTGAGCACAGAGCCACCCTGGCCTCTGCAATCTCCACCAGCAGGGCAGCATCAATTCCTGCTCCCCTTCTCTGCCTTTCACACACATGTTCTTGTACAAAGGGTTTGTGGTGGGCCAGGGAGATAGCTCAATGCATAAGCACCTGCTTGACAAGCACAAGATTGTGAGTTTGATCCCCGGCACCAAAAAAAAAAAAAAAAAAAAAAAAAGGTTTGTGGGATGGACATTGAAATCCAACAAGAGCAGTGTGTATCTATGACTGGCATACAGAGTTGTCTCCCTGGATTCCTCAGGTGGCATTGTGCCCACAGGTAAAGAGGCTTGAAAAGAGATAAAAGCACAAGCAGGTTGAATATCCATCCCTGAAATGGGAATAACAGAGCATTTTTGTTTGAAACACCATAAGGATGAAGATGGAGGGGAAGAAATAAGTAGTCAGCCAACCAATTCAATTATTTAGGGTAGTATGTTTGTTTTCACAAACACAGTGCCTCCATCAGAAATGATGAGGATCCCAAGATGATGGCAAACTGCATGAATTAAAAACATGTAAAAATAAAATAGAATATGATGATGACTTGAATAAGAATGTGTCCCCAGAAGATTTGGTTAGCTGAGACCTGCTGAGTCACTGCCAAGGTCCAGCCTAATAGCTGTAGCAGCTTCTGGCGACACAATGAATGACTGTTTCAGAAAGGGAGACTTCTAGCCTGCTTCATGAGCTTGGCCTGGGAAAGGGTAGAGGACATGTACAAGTGGAGGACAGAACCACCTGAGAAACTGAGACCTGCATGTGGAGCCCC